TCCTCTTCTCGTGTGTGTGTGTGTGTGTGTGCGCGCGCGTGTGTGCGCGTGTGTGTGCAGGGCTACTGCAAGGACTGCCAGAAGCAGACGCGAATGCGGCACATACGCGAGGCACGCACCGCATCCACGGGCCCACTCCCCTCCCCTCCACTCACACACACAGACAGACAGACACACACACACATCTGTGCCGCATGTCTGTCTGTCTGTATGTGTCCCCGGTACGTGTGTTCCCTCCCTCCCTCTCAGCTGTGGGGCTATCCACAGGTGCTCGCACTCAACTGCAACGCCCACGAACAGACACAGGTGCGTAGCAGCGCAATGAACGAGTGGATGGATGGCTAGATGAGCCCATGCATGATTCATGTGTCAAAACAGGCGTCTGTGTGGCGGGCTCCCTCCTTCCTCCCCCCCTGTGTGCACATCCAAGTGCCCAGCGCAGAGGACGGCACTGTGGCCGTAAGCCTGCACACACGCACACACACACATATACAGGCAGGCAGACAGACAGACAGAGAGGCGGCTGGGCTGCGCTGATGAATCCCTTTGACAAGTCACATATGTTAGAATGCTAGAGGCCGTAGAGGCGGCCGTGTGCATAACGAGATAGTAGAACTGAGCAGCCCTTCAGTCACCCCCACTCACACCCACGCCCACACCCACACAGATGCATGCCGTCCACCGATCTATCTCCCTCCCTCCCGACCTCCCTCCCTCCCTCCCTCCCTCTGTGTGTGTGTGTGGCAGCCGTGTGTGCGTGTGGACCCCTTACCCGGCTGTGTGCCCTACGACCTGATCGGCGTGATATTCCGCGTGGCCGAGGAGTTTCGCAATGCGGACACAGACACGCATCTGGTGCTGCACGTCAGGTGAGCTGAGCGAGCGAGCAGGCAAACCTGCCTCCATCCATCCACCCTCCCATCCTCGTATGGTCCTGGGGCTGTGCTGTGCAGGGTCCCAGCGTCGTACCAGGGCCAGCAGCAGCAGCAGCCGCCTCGGCAGCAGCAGGAGAGTGGTGGAGTCGCCGGCAGCGCTGTCCCCTGCTCCCCGCCGATCCACACTGGCGGTAGGTACTCGTGTGTGTGTGTGTGTGTGTGTGTTGTGAATGGATGTGTCGACGCAAGAATAATGACTGTGTGTGCGATGGCAGGCGCACCGAGCGATGCGGAGTTCGTTACGCCGATGCGGGAGCACAGAGGAGACGGTAGGTGTGTCTGTCCATGGACACACACACACACACGCACACACACACGTGTCCATCTCCCCCCTCTCTCTGTGCTGTGTGTGTGTTCCGTTTCAGTGTCGCCGCTTTTCTCGCCCTCTTCATTCAAGAGCGCACAAGAAGGCACGCCTTCCACCCCCCCCAACACCCCCAACACACACACACCCCCATTCATCTGCACACACCTGCCCTGCAGGAGACGACACAGCAGCACCACCGACAGCAGCAGGAGGAGACAAGGTCAAGGTCGTCGTCACACCTGCTGCTCCTGCTCCTGCTGATCGTTCTGGAGCTCGAGCAGAATGGGACGCTGCTGCTGGTGCTGCCGAACCACCGCCGTGAGAAGATACACGCACACACACACACACACAATATGGCAAGGGTGTCTCTCTGTGTGTGCGTGTGGGGCGATGGACAGTTCTGCGGCTGATCGTGCTGGTGATGGTGATGGTAATGGTGAGGGTGAGGGTGGCGGCGGCCGCGGGAGAGAGAACGGGGTGCCGTCGCCTGTGCTCACCCACCAGGCTGAACCCACCACTCTCTTCCCTGAGCCATCAACAGCATCAACACGGGCCGGTCAGTTCCCTCCATTCCCTCCACACAAACATTCACCCACCCATGTGTGTGCCGATGTCTGCAGATCGTCCGTCTCATTCTCAGCAGCAGCAGCAGCAGCGTCAGCGACACGTGTCGACTCTCAGCGGCGTGTCGACGCTCACCACCGGCGAGACCGACGAGCAAGAGCAGGATCAGGATGAGGAGTGTGGCCAGCCGACGACGCCCCTCCCGCCGCCGCAGCAGCAACAACAAGAAGATGATAAGCAGAGAGGTGGGTGGGTGAGCTGGTGGCTGGCACACACACGTGTGTGTGGGGTGGGTGGATGCGTTGCAGCCCCCGAGCAGCAAGGACCTGTTGCGCAGCAGGACCAGGACCAGCAGCAACCACAGCCACAGCAGCAGCAGCAGCAAGAGAGAGGTACTCATGCGGACAATCTCCCGTCCCGCGCATATTCTCTCTCTCTCCCCGCCCTCTCTCCGTGTGTGCGTGCAGGTGACCGCTGGCTTACCTTCAACGACTTCGTCATCACACCCTCGGACCTTACAGAGGTACATCACGTCAGATTCATTCCCCCC